AAACGGTTTCTTGTGATCTACATATGTACATGTCGCTAGCGAGCCTAAAACTGACTCGCCACTAGTATAAAATTCATAAAGGAAATAGTCGCAATATAAAGTTATGTTAGGAATATGGTAGAGTTGAATATTAGTATGTAGATAGTAAATCTCAGGATGAGTTTTCCACATTGCACCTACACATCACTGTTATAAAAATGTGTTAATTATCGTAAGATTTAGTTTCCAAGGAGTTGCAATGCTCTTTGCTCTTAATTTTTCCTTTACAACCATAGTACATATGCAACCATCCGGTATTACTTTTTTTGTTCTTATTATTTTAACGGGTAGCTAGTTACTTTACTTAAAAATTCATTAGCATGCTCACCCGATCAGAGGTGAACGCCGTACATACATACATATATATGTGCACATAAAACTAGCGATCGAAATCAGAAGCGTTTAGTCGTAAGTAATCAAACGCATCGAACAAAATTTTCCTGTTTGACAGTCCGGAGCATACAACATTTTTCAATAATTTCTGCTCAAGCTCGGAACACTTTGACGACAGCAAGCGACAAGCAGCATCTGTCAAATTTTAAATACACACGTTCTTACGGACACAATTATTTTGACGACAGCACGACATCTTGGCTGCAGGACTGCAATTGTCGACGTCGCCAAATTAAATCTATTTCTAATTTTGCCGGCGACAATGATTAGATGTAGTGCTGCAAAATTAAATTGTCGCAAAATTAATCACATATTCTTGATTGTTCATGTTTTTCTTATTTACTTAAATAAAAATACACAATTTGTGAAATAAATATACCAAAATGTCAAACTTTAAAATCAGCTGTTTGCTATGTCGCTGAGGTCTTCAAAATGTTTAAGAAGCTGGCTTCAAGGCGACATTTGTCGACAAAATGATGTCGCTGTCGTTACGTCGTGAAGTTGCAGTCGTCAAAGTGTTCCGAGCTTAAGAAGATAATTTTCCCTCCGACCTGGCGAACATGCTCGCTAGCTGCTAGAATAGAACATGATCGACCGCACACATTTCTGCTACGTCGTCGTCGCTGGGCCCAACGTCGCTTCGATGGAGTAAACAAATGTAAGTAAATATAAACTTCTTTTGGCAATTTACGTATAAATTTCTTTTGAGGAGATATTGAAAAATGTTTGACTAAATTTAGTATACAAAAAAAAACAAAAAGCTTTAAAGCGGAAAAAATCATAATTACAAGTGAATGCACGTATTTGTCTGTGTAAGCAGCGAAATATCAGTAGGCAGAGTTCGAACCAATTCGCTCAAAATAGTGTGACTATTAGCGTAACGTTGAGGCCAGGTTCGCTTCCGGTGGTCATCATACCCTTTGTTCAAGCGAATTCAATATATTACTAAAATGGATTTTGTTTCCGGCATTTGAGCTAGGGAACCTTAGAACGAGTTGAATATAATTTTTATAAAATTTATTTTGTTCAATACACATAATATTAATATAAAATAGTGTAATATTGGATAGCATAGTAAGCTCCTAACTTGATTTG